GACAGGTAGCTCTTAACTCTACCCCTCCACCCCGAGTATTGAAGAAGACACAGGAAGGGGCCTGTTCTTTGTCCCCTTTCCTTGAAGATGCCCTTGCTGCTACGTAAATCTCGTGTTTTCTCTTTTAGCATCCTGCTGCTCTTTGCTTCACTTTTCTTCCCTTGCTTTGGAGCCCAGGCTGGCCTTGAGTTCCTGATTGACTTTCTGCTGGGAAGGCCGAGACGCAGCACAGAGCCTGGCTTCCATCTTTGTTTTTCCTCCCAAGTACTAACAAGGTCTCACTCTGCTTAGCTTCCCAGATCAGGCGAGACTGGGGGAAATATTCAGGACGATATGGCTGTAGGTCTGTCTTTGTTGCTTATGGTGGGTCCTGCACCACGTCGGACAACTTCAGCCAGACATTTTGAACCAAAAATTTTCGGTGGAACACAGCAAAAGGAGGAAAGAGGTGGCTGCAGAGCCAAGCATCCCTTACGTGAAGACTACAGCTGAAACCGAGGAAGATGGCTAGTCTGCTCTACTTCTGAGGAGCCCAGTGCAGCTACTCCAGGAGCTGTAATTAAGTTCACCTCTAATTGGATAAGTGAGACCAGCCTGACATGTGAGAGAGTAATTAATTCTCACTGGGGGCAGGACAAAGTCACTGGGCAGCGGCATCTCCGGAATCCTCATTCATGTTCTCTCTTTCTCCCCCTCCCTCCATCTTTCCCTCCTTCTGATACATGTCCAAGAATGGGAAGGCAGAATGCCCCAGCCCTGCCTTAGAATCTTCCTGTCTCTACTCTCTGTCCCTTCGCATCAAGGGCATGGTCATTCGACAATACCTTGGACATGGCACAAGACAAAGAAGGCCGGGCCTCCCCTCTGCTCCTCCTTCTGCAAACTGTGGGCTGGGAAGAGGCTGGCTTTAATGTTACCGCATCACCCACTGTTCCATCTCTGACTTAAGTCTAGCTCAGATCTCGGGTCCCTTTGGAGACTAGGGGAACAGGAGGGAGTCCTGGAGACAGAAACTTGAATGCTGCGTTTGCCTTGGCACACTGACTATGATCTCCCATAAATCACATAACCTCCCTGAGGCTCTGGTTCCTTATCTGCAAAATGGGCATAATGTTCGCCATCACTAATAACCAACCCGCTTACCGTGGAAGGAGATGAGAGACAACAGTTGTTTGGGCACGTGTGAGCAAGCGGCTCTTAGCACCTAGCCAGAGGTGAAAAGTTCTTGGACACCTGAAGGCAACTCAGCCAGCCTTCCAGCCCAGAACGTGTCATCTGTCCGTGAGGGATGGGGTAACCACGGCTGAAATCTCCTGTTCACATAGCCAGGGGTATGGGAGCCTTGTCAAAAGAGGGACCTGAGCTCTTGAACTTAACTTGGCCACTACCAAGTATCAAGAGGATTGAGATGTCAATTGTTCTGTGGAGATCTGGGTCAGAGCCAAAGTCATGTGCCCAAGACTTGAGGCTAGACAGTAGAGGCAGGGTTGACTCTGCCTTTGGCTAAATCTTCTAGGACCAAGGAAAGACTCCCGGATACTGAGTCCTCTGTCACTAGCGAGGCTCAAGCTCCAAGGCAGCCTCTGTTAGCCCTTGGCCAAACTACGGTCCCTGGTCCCCATCCTAGACGCTCACACTATGCCTCTGAAGCTGTCACTCACGAATCTCCATCCTCTAAGGACTGGGCAGACCAGAAAGGCTTTGTATGCCTTGGGTAATCTCCACGGCAGTCCTGGTGCCTTCATCTCTCTTTGTTAGTGCTAACCAAACCTGTCTGTCTCAAGCCCTGCGCCCATGTCTCTCAAGTCCCTAGGGGTGTGGACTCAAGTGTTTCTAGAACCTGTCCTCTGAAATGCCCACTGGGCACAGAATCAGCCTGCCGCAAGGTGGCTGAAGGATTCCTCTAGCACCGTCTCCCAGGGAGCCCTGCTTAGAATGCCTATGGAGTGGGGGTGGGGGCAGGGGGAGCTGGTTTGTGTGGCCCTGCTCTGGGATGGTTACTGTGCTGGAGCTTAGAAATTCCTCTTACTGTTACATAATCGAGGTATTTTTTTCCCCTCCTTATTTTAGATCCTGGTACCATCTGTCCTGTTTTTCGTGTTTCGCTGACTCTGGGCTGGAGGTGAGCTCAGGCTTGGCCAGTCAGTCGGCTTTGTCCCTCACGTGATGAGAGAGGAAAGCCTTAACTGTAAAAAACGAGATCTTGACCCCGCCCTGCCTGCCTGCCAGGGCAGCCGGAAGGATCAGCAGAGAGGTGTAACTGGCTGGGTGAGTGTGTCTGGCGCTGTACACAGGAGTCTGGTTGTTAACCTGGTTCTCCGAGCTAGGCGAAGGTGCTCGCTCACCTGTCCTAGGAGAGTGCCCACAGATTTGCAGAGCAGGCTTGAAACATTGGAAGTGAACAGACCTCGCCACGGGAGGCTCAAGACTCCCTGCCATAGGCTGGCAGGGGCACCGCCCTAGCGGTTTGTGACAGGCAAGGCCAGGTGGTCTCGTCACCTGCTCGCGTGGCCTCTTGGCCTTGCGGTGGCCATGGAATGTGAAGCTCGGCCCGTGTTGACTTAGCAGACAGAAAAGTCTTGCAAAAACCTTGTCCATTTCCAGCCATCAGAGGTGGGTGGGTTCACGCTAGCTGCAGCAGGCCAGAGGTCCCAGCTGAAGTCCTAGGTGCAGGCTAAACTCAACCCGAGTCCCATCCTTATTCCTCCCCACCCCCACTCAAGGGTTTGTCCGAAATGCTTTCCTTCCTGTTGACTGTGGAACTAACTGAGGTTCAAAAGCACAACCAAAGGTTTGGGCTGACGGAGCCAGCACACACTGCAAGCCCATCTCCCTGCCGTAAAGGCCATGGGAAGGAGCCCGTAAGACAAAGAATGCCAGGCTCTTGGCTATACTGGTCAGTTTGGCAGTTATAAAAACATGCCAGCGATTGAGGATTAAGCAATAAAATACATGTTCACATAACTCTGGAGGCTGGATGTTCTGTCCCCACCCTCTGATGCTGGACGAGTTACCCTCCTCTTTGGGGCCTCGGTTATATGACCTATAAAATGGGAATGCCCTGTGATCTGCCCACCTCACCTGTCTCGTAAAGATCAAAGGCAGTCCTGTGTCCAAGCTGGATGGTAGTTGCAACAAGGGAAACGGGGAGAGGGGAGATGAATTACCACTGAGATTATCTGGAGGAAAGGTACACTGGGGTTTTCTTTTCTGAGACAGGATCTTACTGTGTAGTCCAGGCTGGCTTGGAACTCCCTCTGTAGACCAGGCTTATCTTGAGCTCACAGAGATCAGCCCCTTCTTCTGCCTGGTAGCCTCAGGCTTTTCAGTTACAAGACTACAGAGGAAAATGCAGGGCCAGCAAGACAGTCAGTGTAATCCTAAGTAAAACAAATCACAAGAGCCTGACCAGGCAGTCCTCTTTTGCAGCTTAAGATGCCGGTGGTGGCGATTGTCTGGCATTCAGCTTATTTCTCCTCGGGACTCAAGTATGTGCCACTTCTAATCCCTTCTAGTTCCCAGTGATGGATGGATGCAGACGTGCAACTCCAGGCCACTCTCCACGTGTTACAACCAATCTCTTTATTAAGCACGAAAACAAATTCTCCAAGATGTAAAAACGCCACCTGAAGGCTCCAGCTGGAAACAGTCACTGCGGTACAAAAGCAGCTTGCTGCCGTGGGCTCGCTGCTGTGAGGGAGCTCTCTGGACCCCGAGGCCCCGCCTCCCTCTTTCCTTCCCTCCCAGGCCCTATCTGTCTTGCCTGAAGACAGGGGCTGGAATCGGGTACCCCTGTTTGAATCCGGAGCAACCCAAAGCCCAAATGGCAAGCTGAATTCGCTCTCTGTGGAACCCTCTTAGCTTCAGCAAGGCTGCACCCGGCAGTCTGGTCTAGCTGCCTAGGTTCCTTTGCTTTCTCCTGGCACTGGGCTCCGGGTTCAAGACAGACAGCTTCTTAGGAGTGTAAGGATCACCGTTTCTAAAGGGGCTTTGCTTCTTTCTTTGTTCCAGCCAGTGTCCAAGTAGGTGGTCAAACGCTCTTGGAGGACCTCAAGCTTGTGTGGAAGAAAAAAACGCCTGAGCCGACTCTAGCCGAGGAGGCATGGCTCCCTCTGGTGGCAGGTCGGGATTTTGCCGCAAAAGGCACTCCCTAGCTCACGGCTTGACACCACCAGGAAGAAGGCAGTACTTGGTTTGGATCCAAATACCCAGACCCCGATCAACTGCAGGGACAGGCAGCCTTCAAATTCAAACCTTCCTGATGGGCAACACAGACTGCCTAGCAGTGTCTCAGCGTAATTAAAAAATAATGTTTACAGTAGGAAGGAGAGGTGACCACCCTGAAGTCCTGTGGAGCAGGTGTGAGTGTGTGTGTCTGTGCGCGCGAGTGCGCATGCACCACATAAGCACATGAGACAGTAGGTACCCAGACCCATTGCTAGGGAGATGTCTCAGTGCCCAGCCTTGGCACTGCTAATCTGTCTACAGCCCCAAGGATAGCACCAATCCTGTCCAAGGCGAAACCAAACCATACTCCTAGGCAAAGAGCACCTCTGCCCAGACCCAACCTGAGTCTTCAAAGATGGTGGAGAAACCTCAGCTGGCAACCTCTAGATCTCCCATCCCCAGCCAGCTGAGAGTCAGTGGCTGCTGGCCACCAGTCGCACAGTGCCATGGATGGGCAGAGAACACACAGTAGCACCTGGTGTGACTGTCTCAAGAGAAGACACTCTGCTGGTAAGAGGGTTCAAGGATCAATGGGTCCAAGGTGTCCCTGGAACACAATGTGATGAGTTTTACGGCAATGCCCAAGCACGAGCGGGCCCACCCAGGTGCAATGGAAGGGGTATTTCATTGCACCCACGTGCCACGGAGCTGCAAGTTCTTCCTGCACACGAGAAAAAAAATCTGTTCTTTTTACTCGTGAGACTAGCTTAAGGATTAAATGGGATAAATATTTTGAACAGATGCTTTGGCTTAGAAATGATTTTGGATACTAGTCTAATAATCTGTTTTTAATAGAAAGATATTTCCCACAAATCTTTGTATAAAATCAACTTGAACTAGATAGAAGCACCATGTTGGCCTTGAGGCTTAGGGTCACCCACCTGTGACCCCCACATCTGTGAAGGCCTACCACCACGTGAACAAGTAAGGTTAATGCTAAGATAAGTCTTCCTACGACCGTGGTAACCGTATGAACTCCCTCCCCTCAGCCTTCCCCCTCCCACCAGATCCCGAGGCAGAGGACACAGGAGCCTCTTCAGTGGATGTAGATCTTGTCAGAGATGGCTCCCGGCAAGTGTGTCATGATCTGCATTCGCAGCCACCAGTAGTAGTCCATGGGGTGGTAGCGGGTGTAGGGGGTGGCGGCAGTCAGGGCGTGTGTGACAGCGTCGATGACAGAGGAGGTGTCTGTGGAGCCGCTGTTGCAGTAGGTCTCCATCTTGGCGATCTTCTCATCAAAGTACTTCTTGCCGTAATCTTTGCGGACGACCTCGGGAAGCTCGTCCCACATCTTCTTGGCGATGGCCTGGATACGCTCAGGGCTATACAGACTGGTGGCCGCGATGAAATTGCCGGGCTCCACCACACTGACCTTCACGCCCAAAGGATGCATCTCATAGCGCAGGCAGTCAGAGAAAGCCTCTACCCCGAACTTGGTGATGCAGTATGGCGAGCGGGCTGGGTTGGCCATGCGGCCCAGCATGCTGCTGATATTAACGACACGGCCTATAGAAGAAGACGGCAAACATCTGCTCAGGGGGCATTGCCCTGTGACATGGTGGCCCGGCAGAGACAGCTTTAGAACCTTCCGGAGGCAGGGGGCCTTCTTGGGCCACCCAGCTAATCAGTATTCCCCAGCTTCCCCAAGGGAACAAATGAGAAACAAGCCTGTGGACCAGGAGGTGCAGTAGACTAGGCAACACACAACTGGCTGATGGCAGCCAAAGCCTGCCTGGAAGCAATACTGTGGGGTGAAAACACACTGGGTGCCCCTGGGACATGGAATGGCTATGTTTGTGTGGACCTGTGATCGACTCTAAGCAGGGTCTGATGCTGATCCGGGAGAATAGGAAGCTAAAACTCTTTCTCCCCAGTCAGGTGCACAGAGAAGTAACGTGGCAAGTCCAAGTGGGTACTGACCGCTGGCACAGCTAGGGATGGAGATAGAGCGCAGAAGACAGAGTGCCCAGAACGAGGTTGGCACAAGGGAGCCTAGAACACCCCAGTGGAGAGGAGGACCTGGGTTGGTGGGCTGTTCCCAACACCAGATCCAGAAAGAAGTGGGCTGGGGCAGGCGCAGGGGCCCGGTTACTAAAGCTGATTTCAAGGTTGGACATTAGGTGGCACTGTGGGACTCAGGCACAGAGAAAATGGTGCCCTCAAAAGCATTCTGTCACAGGCCCAGCCTGGGAATGCAGGGGCCCATTACAACTCCCCATAGGGTTGGGGTAGATCCTCTCAGTCCAGGCTGACCTGGGTCAGCTTGCCTAAGGCGTGCCCCCAGGAACACCCGCCCCCGTGGGAAGTCACTGAAAGGTTGAGCTTCCTCACAAAGACTACAGACTGAACCCCGTTCACGCCTATGCTGCCAAGACCTTGGGGCAGATCTGGGGATCTGGTACCTTTTGTCACAAGGGCTTGCTGTTCCAGGGGAAAAGTCAGATCTCATGACTTTATAGACGGTTTTGCTCCCATTTGGCTATTTTACATGATTTGGGGATCGCGTCTCTTCTCCAAGTTTCTGGTCTTGTTTGAACTGAATAACACGACGTCTCATTTTTAAGCTACGGAACATGCTAATATTTGTTTAGTATTACACAGCGATGGAACAGCATGTAGACACAGCTGGTGCCCATGTGCTGACTTCTGCAGATTTGGTTCTTAGAGGACAAGCCTCTACGACCCATGAACCCGGAGTGCACAGACCACTGAACTACCTTTCTTGTGTGTTTTTGAGACAGGGTCTCATGTATCCCAGGCTGACTATAACCTCAAGGTCTTCCTGCCTCGGTCGCCCGAGTGCTGGGTTTACAGATGTCTACCACCATCCCAGCTCATCTGTTCCACTTCTGAAAGCCACAGACCCCTCTCCCCTGCCTGACCATGTACTTCTGTACATGGGGATTGCCATTCCCAAGCCCAGCCTGGCTCTGAGATGCCCGAGGTCAGCCTCGCCGTTATGGACGGTAGCTCTGGCAGGTCTGGGGTTTCCATTCTGAACAGGAATGAAAAGGTTGGATAGGTAGAGGGAGGAGTGGGCAGGAAGACTCTCTCTTCCCAACTCACCTTTGGCTCTCCGGAGAAGGGGGAGGAAGGATTTTGTCGTGCGTACCGTGCCCCAGAGGTTCACTTCTGCCACCTCCTTATACGTCTCCATGCTGGTGAACTCCACCTCCCCAAATGTTGAAATGCCTGCATTGTTAACCAGGCCCCACATTCCTGCACACGAGAGGACACAGCCAGTCACCATATGGACTCAAACACAAACACTTGTCTGCCCCTCTCTGCTCCGATCTCTTTCTTCCACGACTCCCAGCCTCTCGCCCAAGGCTTTCAGGAAACAATTCTAGAGTGGGCCATCTCTAGAGTGAAAGGGAGAGAGAGCCAACACCCTGACTAAACAGACTGTCCCTATGGTAGAACATGCAGGCTTCATGCCAGTGCAGACAGAATCAGTTCTCAGCCCTTCCTGACTGTGTCTCCCTCCATTCCAGCTCTGTGTGGTTCTTATCACCTTGACACGTATCTGGGAAGGGGTCGTAGTAATTAAAAAGATGTCTCCATCAGATCGGTTTGTAAGCAATCTGTAGGGTGTTTTCTTGATTTGGAGGGGCCCACTATGGGTGCTCCAAATGCCTTCTTGCCAGGTGGTGTGGAAGAAAGCAATTGAGCAACCCATGTAGGGCAAGCCAGGAAGCCGCACTGCTCCACGGCCTCTGCTTCTGTCTTGCCTTCAGGCCCTTGCTTTGAGTTTCTGCTCTGATTTCCTTCAGTGACGAACTATGATGTGGAAGTTTATACACCAAATAAACCCTCTCCCCATGTGCTTGTGGCCATGGTGTCTATCACAGCAACACAAAAGTGAAGGCGACAGGCATTTCTCCTCCACATGAACACCCTGCACCTATTCATCCAACTCAGCTATTGCTCCGACAGCCCCTCTAGCCAGCAGTCAAGGAAACCTCAGGAACTTTCCAAGCCAAGCTCATAGAAGGGCACACAACCTCAAGGTCACCCATTAAGTTATGGGCTCTGCTGCCAAGCCTTGTTCATGGTCAGGCGCCGCCCCACTCCACCTTGGGACTGTTAACAATCCTCTATTCTCTCGAGCTCCTCCTCCGAGCAGGCTGCTGTTTGCTGGTCACACATTAAGGGACCTTGGCTCGGGAGTCTTTCAGTCAGTGTGTCTCTTCTCGCCCTCTCCTGAGACTGTGCGGTGTGATACAGGCTATGAGAAGATGCCTGTTCTCTCAGCGTTGACTGTTCCCTACGAGAGCAGCTAAGGGACAGCTGGCTTTTGTAGACTCAGACAATATTGGTTCTGCAAAGTTCCTGGAGTTTATTTTGTCTGCTAACTATTTTTGCAGCAAGGCAAGGGAAACCAAAGCTGTCAAGGGAAAAGACAGATTTAAGTCTCATCATTAAGTCAGAGGCAGAGTTGAACCTGAGCCAAGGGAGCACAGCCTGTTTTCCAGGACTCGGTTCGAGTTCAGTTTTTTGGGTGTAAGCTGTGGATGGGTCAGAGCCCCAGGGCAGAGTGGGGTCCTGCCTCTTTGGTGTGGAGAGCCTCAGCATTTCGTCTCCTTACGGCTTATTCTCCTGCCTCTGAAAGCTCTGTGCCCCTTGCAGGGGCTTCAGCAGACAAGGTGCCTGCTCGCAGCCAGTGAGAATAAGGCCGGGACTTACTCTCCCAGTGCATCATGGGAATGAATGTGTAAATGACAGAGTAATTGGTCTCATGTTGCTTTCCTTCCGTCTTGCCCAAATTAAAGCTTAGTCAGCTGACCTCTGGTGCCTTCTCCTTCAATTACGGGGAATTAAGGGCATTTATTAAGGAGAGGAAATTGCTGGTTAACCAAGTGTCCAAAGAGCTCCCTCCTGCACCAGCTGCCTGCCGGGGCTTCCTGCCCTCAGCTCTCAGGCTGAAGTTGTGACCTTGAGGCACAACCCACGTGGTCCAAGGCATCCCAGAAATCCACGGCTCCCAGGTCTGTCTTTTGACTTCCCCGAGCCTTCTCTCCTGGAGTCCAGAGGCTAGGCTAACCCCTGGCCTCTACCCATGCCGCCCCGCCCAGAGCTGGCAGGCTTTTCTTCCATTTAGGTGCTTCTCCTTTGCCCCAGTAGCTGCCCTTCAACTCCATCTCTATTAGGAATTCAAGATGTGCGTGTAGGTGGCGGATGTCTACAAACAAACACTCCATTTCCACATCCCAAGGAGCCTTCTTAACCATGCATGTCACCTGATCTCCTTCCTTCTGCAGCCAGCCTTCTGAGAACATCCTATCCTCTCAATCCGGTCACACTGCTCTGGACTCCAACCTCCATCTCCTGTTCACTACAGCCGGCCGGAGAGGCCACCAAGTAAACCCCGCCTCTGTCTCTATTCTCTTCTTAGACACTGTCTACCAATGGCCCTGGACACCAGCTTTCCCCTGGGTATAGTGACACCGGGCATCCCAGCGCTTTTCCTCTACCAGCCTCCACCCGTCGCAGACACACCCAGTGTCTCACGCTCAGCCTGACTCTCCTGAATGCTGACACAGTCTCCTCGTCTACTAGATGTTTATAGAACCTTCCAGCGGCTTTGTGTTTGATTCAGATGGGACGGTATCACATGACCAAAAATGCATCCATGCATGCATGCTCAACCTGAAAATGAAACAATCCTATCTGGCATTACTGTCCCATAAAGATGAATTAAACTACTGTGTGATAGAGCTGGTGACTTGGCAGATAGCAGTTAGCCTCAGAGCTCTCCAGGGTCCTTAGCCAAAGCTCCAACAGCGGCGCCCCTGCCAGTCCAGAAGGCAGCTGCTTCCCCAAAAAGATCTCACCATTACCTCCATGTCCAGACAACTCCCATGGACCCCTAAGAGGATCAGCTCCAGAACTCCGCCTTACCGTCTCTTCTATCTGCGCTGTGCTAACTCACCCTGAGCACAGCGAACACACTGCGTCTGTCCTGTTAGTGTGAACACACTCGCTCCTCTAGCTCCTTCACTTTTCCCATCCGATGTGTCAGCCAGGGCTGGGAGATGCCTGGTGGTTAGAATGACAGCCACCAGGCCCTGGAGAGGCACTATGATGATGCCACCTGACCCTCATAGCTAAGCCACACAGTAGATGCTAAATCGGCCCATAGCTGAATGAGGAAACCGAAGCTCAGTGTCACCAGGACCAGGCGAGGAAGATACAATTCAGACCTAGACAAAGGAGGAGCCTTTAAGTTCAGCCCCACATAGCTGCTGGTTTCCTTTGCTGGAGCAGAGAGTCAATTCTGTTTCCTTCAGCATTAACTTAGGTCCTGGCTGACCTCTCTGCTGTGCAGCTGGTGAAAACCCAGGTCTCCCTGCCTCAATCTGTATCTTCCATCTCTACAGGACCTGCAGCCAGGTTAGTCTTTCTCCTTGGGTCCTGTAGCTCTCAATCTGTGGGTAGCACACAAGGCCCTGGCAGACTTCTTCCCACCCCTACACATTCTGCCTCCCTCAGTACGAACAGCTCAGTTGCTCCTCTGGGAAGCCTGCCCCTTGTCACCACAGAGGTGAAGTCTAGACTAATGAGATCGGCTAGATGTACTTTACCACTTCACAGACGAGCAAGTTGAGGCCCACGCAGGGCCTGGCTGACATCCAAGTCACATTTCTCTGGAGAGGCGGAGCCCGGGAGAAACCCAGTCCTCCCACTCTGATACCAAGAGACGGGTCTGACGTAAAAGATTCCCTGCCTACGGCATCAAGCCCCCGGGTGGTTTAACTGTTCTCCGAAGGTTTGTTCCGAAGCCACTAGGTTGGTGTCTAGTTCCAAGCTCCTCCTGCCAGATCAGAGCCCTCCAGGCACCAAACATAGTCCCAGGCAAACAGCAAGAACTCAGTAAATGCTTACTCAATGGTAAGGAATGACTCTGGGGTCAGGCCACACCCACAACCCGTCAACAGCTGTGTGTACGCTTTCCTGGAGTTGGGAGGGCTGTTCACAGGCACAGATGTCCAGTCCCTCCGAGTCCTACAAAGCAGGGTAGGTGGGACTAGTGAAAGATGGCTCTAAGGACACCTCAGCACCTCAGGTGACTTCTCAGACTCCAGTAGTGACTGTCCCACGGAACCAGAGTGAAAACCAAGCTCAAAATGTGCCCAAGATGGGAGTATACCTGTCCTTGTGTTAAACGTGACTGCTGAGATGTACGGGGAGGGCGCCACCTGGAGGTCAAAGCCAGCACTGCATGTGGGAGCTGTTCCTGATTTACCAGGAAAAGGACCACAGGGCTCAAGGGGGCGAGCAGTGGGAGGTGGGGTGGATAACTGGCAGGGAAGAGGCAGATGGGGAGAATGGGAAAGACTTGGGGGGCGGGGGGATCCGGCATGCAAATGCCATCTGACTGTTTTATTTTCTGGTTTTGAACCCAAGAGTTCCAAATCATTTCCCCCAAACTGCATTATGGTTATGGTGGGTCACGGTGACGGGCGGAGCAGAGGCTGTGGATCCCAGCTGTGCCCCATTACCATCAAGCCCCACGAGCTGTGATTTCAGACTTCCTGATGCTGTGGCCATCCCCCTTCCTGGTCTGTGAAGGCAGCACCCTAGCTGCCCAGGGAGGCTGTGGGGACAAAGGGTGACAGGCTATGTGGCTGGCAATCATCCCACTGGGGCCCAGCCGGCCTTTTCTAAATGGGCCAGGGACACCAACTATCGCTGTTAATCATTAAACAGATTTCAGTGGGTCTGTAACACACTGGGCGCTCCTGGAGAACACGGGGCCCCACAATGGCCTCTCAGAGGGTAGGGTGGCAGCACCCAGCTGTGGAGGTGACCCCAGTGACAGACTCCCTAACCAACAGATTCTCCCATAGCTAGCCGTGTGGCACAAGCTCTTCTCAGAGATGGCAGCGTTTTTCAGCCTGGCAATTTCGGTAATCTACACAGCACAGGTGCAGGTCCCCCGGCCCCCTTCACTGGACCCCATCCAGAAGCTGTGCAGCAGGGAGCTAACTGAGGCAGCCCCCCTTTTCCCTGGCCTGCCAAGGGGCTCTAAGATCAACAGCACAGGCTGATTCTTCCACAGGGCCTACTGTGTGGCCTAGCTCCATGCTTTCGGGGTCCACTTGAATGGTACCCCACCCTCTCTGAGCTGGAGAGCAGATCCCCTCAAACTAAGGTCCTCCACCCAGACTGAACTCATGACAGTGTGCTAAGGCAGCTCTGCAGGATTCGATCCTTGGCCCCCTGGCTCTCCACACTTTCTACTTTGAGGCACTCCATCCAACCTCTGTGACATACATCTCTCTCCTCCCTGGGTCCTAACTCCTTGTATCCCCTCTGGACACTCCCCCAGGGTGTCCCCTGGGCACTTCCATGCCTTCTTACCTGTCCCTTATCTTGCTCCTGCCGTTAAGGACAGCAACTATGTAGGACAGACACCTCCTGCCTCTTTTTCATCCCCATATCCAAATCAACTCTACCAGCTCTGTTCTCTCAGTGCCATTAGCGAGCTCCAGTACCTCCGGCGAGCGCCAGTACCACCAGCGAGTGCCAGTACCACGGGCGGGCAAGCTCAGTACCACCGGCGAGCTCCAGTACCACCGGCGAGCGCCAATACCACCGGCGAGCGCCAGTACCACCGGCGAGCTCCAGTACCACCGGCGAGCGCCAATACCACCATGTTCAGGCCTGTGCCACCCACATTCCCCTTTAACCCATCTGTCCCCCACTGTAATGCAGGCTTCAGAGGGAGCTTTGGAAGTCGAGCCAGGTCATTACCTCAAGACAATCCCTTCACTCTCCGGCACCTTTGGCCAAGAAACCAGTCCCCTACCTCATCTGCTGCTGCCTCCAGTCTCAACCTTGCGATGGGACCCTCTGTCACACCCCAGCACACCATGGGCTGCTTCCCAGCACCGTTCATGCTCTGCCTCCCCCCCCCCCCCCCCCCCCCCCCCCCCCCCCCCCCCCCCCCCCCCCCCCCCCCCCCCCCCCCCCCCCGCATCACCTCCCTGGGTCTCGACCACACTACCCACTCCTCCCATACCCCTGACACTGGGCCCAGCCCCTTTCCTTGCTGCTCTGCCTCTGTTCATGCCCTGATCCCTGATGATGAACTCAGTCCGCCCACTGAACCCTAAGGTCCTCAGGGACAGAGAACATTTGGGTATCTTTGTGTCCCCGTCACTCAGCCCAGAGTGGGCATTCAAAGAGCATTGGATGAACTGGCCTGAACTAGGAAGTCAATCTGTCCCTCCACAGATTTCAAGCTTGCCTCTAGTCCTATTTCACTGCCCTATTATACAGGTATGTTTAATTTAATCCACTTCCTTATACCGAGCAGAAGGAAGAGTTTAAACAATAAAGAGAGGAACCTTTCTCCAGGAGGCCAGCAAACGGAGGGCAGTGTTGGGCAGGATCCCTGGAAGGGCACCACATACCAACCCTCAGTCTCGCGGCACCCTTACCCTTCTCAGGGTCCTTCAGGCTGGAGCGGATGGTCTCCACTGCTTTCTCTATCTCTTCGCTGTTGCAGACATTGAGCTGGACGGTTCTCAGGCGGTCACTCTTTAAGCTGTCCAGCTCCTTGACCCCAGCATCACCTTTGTCCTGGGGGAGATAGGGCTGCAGTCACTGCTGTCCTTCGTACCCTGGGCAGGTTCTGGACTTAGGACCCAGCCCAGGTAGGGACTGCCTTGAACCCCCTACAAAGCCTGAGGCTTACCCTGACACAAGACTAAGAAAGTTCACTGTAACGTTATTCAAAATAGCCAAAGGCCAAGACAAGTTTTTATAAATATTCTGAATGAATGTTTATTTTGATTTTTGTGTAAGTTTTAATATATGTGCTGCCGAAGTGAGCACAGATTTTTGTGTAAGTTTTAAAATGCAGTTTGGGGCTGGAAAGATGACTCAGCAGTTAAGAGTACTTGCTGCTCTTGCAGAGGACTTGGGTTCGGTTCCCAGCACCTATATAGTGGCGCACAACCATCATCTAGAACTTCAGATCCAGAGGATCTGACACCCTCTTCTGGCCTCTGGAGGCACCAGGCACACATGTGATTTCCATATATGCAGGCAAAACATCCATACGTGGGCTGGAGATATGGCTGAGCAGTTAAGAGCCCTGGCTGTTCTTCCAGAGGTGCTGAGCTCAGTTCCCAGCAGCCACATGGTGGCTCACAACCATCTACAGTGAGAGCTGATACCCTCTTTTGGTATAAAGATGCAAATGCAGATAGAACACTCGTTCATAAAATAAATACATCTTTTTTAAAAAAAAAAATCCATATACAAAAAAATAAATCTCTAAAGATGTTATTTAGTTTATCTGGGGTACAAATGAGCAAAGTACTGTAGCATATTCATATAATTAAGTAATATTCTGCAGAGAAAAATGAATTATAAGAAATGCTACAATATAGATGGCTCTCAAAAACACGCTGAGGCCAGGTGTGTTGGCGCTCCATTCTTGTCAAGCCCCAAGTCCCCCAGGCTGTGACTCCAGGCTGCCTGATGCTGCTGCCTCCCCACTTCCTGGTCTGTGAAGGCAACACCCTGGCTGCCCAGGGAGGTCTTTCATCCCAGCACTCCGAAGGCAGAGACAAATGGATCTCTGTGAGCTCCTGGCCAGCCAGAGCTGCACAGTGAGGCTCTGTCTAAACACAAACAAACACTGTGCTAGGTGAAAGACACACAGTAAAAAGACCCAGTGACTTTGAGTCCAATGTGAGATTCATCCAGAGAAGGCAGGTCTAGGGGAATGGAAATCAGTGGTTGTCCAGGGCTTGAGGTATGTGTGTTGTGTGTGTGTGTGTGTGGGGGGGGGGGGTTAGGGGATGAATAACTGAAAAGAACCAAAAGGCAAAATACTGAGCCAAGGAAATGTTCTCAAAGTGAACTGTGGAGGTGACACAAGTCTCCTAACTGGGGGACAATCCCCTAGCTACATGTGCAGCCTCATGTTTTAATACTTCCCTTCGTGTCCCCTAAATGCTGCCTGATGTCCCAAAGCAGCTAGCTGTAGCTACACTTCCAAGACTGTGCTTAGGCTGTCCCTTCCGTCTGTCAATCTCTCCCTTCTCTGCACCCCACCCCCACCCTGGAACATTCTGGAAAGGGCTTGAGAATGCTTTCATTCTCGTTCTTCAACTGTGTTTGTGCATGGTGTCCTCTCCCACCGGACGGAGAGCTCCCTGGGGGTGCTGGCTAGTTTTATGTCAGTCTGGCCCAGGCAAGAGTTATCTGATAGGAGGGAATGCCAACTGAGAAAAAGTCTCCAGTAGACCATTTTCTTAATTAGTGATAGGTTTGGGAAGGCCCAGGTCATTGTGTGTGATACCACTCCTGGGCTGGGGTCTTGGGTGCTATAAAAAAGCAGGCTGAGCCGGGCGATGGTGGCGCATGCTTTTATTCCCAGCACTCGGGAGGCAGAGGCAGGCTGACTGCTGTGAGTTTGAGGCCAGCCTGGTCTACAAGAGCTAGTTCCAGGACAGGCTCCAAAGCCACGGAGAAACCCTGTCTCAAAAAAACAAAAGCAAAAAAGGCAGACCGACCAAGCCATGAGGAGCAAGCCAGTAAGGAACACTCCTCCAGGGCCTCTGCGTCAGCTCCTGCCTTCAGGAGCTTGCCCTATTTGAGTTCCTGCCCTCGTAGCCTTCTACAAAGACGTGTGATATGGAAGTGCGGGCACAAGAAACACTTTACTCCCCAACTTGCTATTGGTCATAGTATTTATCACAGAAATAGTAACCCTAACTAAGATACAGGATCTTGGACCAGTCTTGTCCCACAACATCTAGCATAGCATCAGGCTCATCACCATCATCTAGTTGGGCCTATCAAGTGGATAGATGGCAGAGCAATGGATGGACAGACATAAGGATTGGTGGATGGATGGGTGCATGTATATACTCATACACGCATGCAGAGAGCTATGTAGAGCACACGAGACTGAAGTGGAAAAGGTGTAGGCTATTTTAGCAACACATGTTAGAAAAGCACATGCGTGTGAACATGCTCGCACATGTGTGCACGTGTGCAAGCACACACACACACACACAGAATAACTGCTTGGACAATGGTAAAGAAAATGACCCAGTCTTACCTTCATTAAGCAGCCAGCAAATACAAGGAAACCTTTTGAGTGTAGATGTTTGGCCAAAGAGAACCCAAATCCGGAGTCACAGCCTGTGATGAGGACAGCTTTGCCGCTCGCCTGTTTTAGAGGGTTAGACCCGTTTTAGGAAGCCAGGACCCCACAGCAGAGTAACCAGCCCTCCCCAGCCCTCCCCAGCCCACAGTAATATTAACGCATGCTGGGTGGCCAAGCCTCATCCTCCTAGCTGGCTCTCCCTGCCTGTCTGGAGAACTACAAGCACCGAGGTATGCTGGGAGTAGAACTCAGAATCACCCGGTCCCTGCCAGCAACGACTCCTGCTGGCAGATCTCTGTGTCTTTATCTGCAGTCACCGCAATGCTCACTGTCCTCATCCTTGGCATCAAAGCCAGGCTTATGCAGTGCTCTCTGGGAGCAAGACACTGGCTATGGGTTCCATCATGACACATCCCCATCCCCAACCATAACCCCACAGACCAGCGGTTCTCAACCTTCCTAACGCCGGGACCCTTTAATATAGTTACTCATGGTGTGGTGACCCCAACCATAAAATTAATTTTGTTTCCACTTCATAACTGTAATTTTGCTAGTTATGAATTATAATGTAAATATCTATGTTTTCCAATGGTCTAAAGTGACCCCTGTGAAAGGATGGTATGACCCCAATCCCCCACAAGAGGTCATGACCCACAGGTTGAGAACTGCTGCCATGGAGTCACTGTGACTACTCCATGCCACCATAGAGGAAACAGAGTCACTTTCAAATGACAGGACTGGAGCACAGATGGGGCTGAGAGACCCCAGAGCCTCACGCTGAACCCCAGCTCTCTGCTTCCCGGCAGGTCTCCCACAAGCTCCCTGGCTGGGAGGGGTGGAGTGTGTGTGTTTACCGCTCCCACATGCATGGGGACAGGGTCTTCCTGCTGACGGAGGGCCTCAAAGAAAGATTAAGCGGAAATGTGAAGCACTGTTCAGGCCCACGCAGAGGCCTAGGGTCCCCAGACGGCCCTCCTCGACCCAAGGACTCCCAGGGAGCTGGCTTCCACTCACCTCATTTGCCTCACTGGCATAAGTCCGACGGGTGGTTGCCGTGAAGGAGTCTGGGTAAAACAAGAGCGTGTGTCTGCAAGAAAACAGCAGCCGTGAACGCCAGGTTCCGGTTCCGCTCCAGACCCTACCCCTGGGCAGATGCTGCTTACAACATTCTCAACCACCAGCTAGGTTAAGGTAGCACTGATTTTCTCCCCATCCCAGGCTATGGGGACAGCTACTGCTTAGAGAACCTTCCCACCGGGAGACAGGCAAGGTGGGCAGCGCATCGGCCAGCTCGGCTACAAGACAGGAGATGCCTTCCTGAGAAGAAAGACAGCCTGATGCCCAAACTTGACTGACTCCAGTGACCCTCATTTTCTGCTTTCCACGGAGACACAGATAGTGGAGTGCTCCGGAGTAATCAAAGCGCTCATATGCTTTCAGAAACCAACTCTTTCAAAGCCTTCTGCAGGCTTAGCGGGTAAAGGTTATTGTTGCCAACCCTGACGGCCTGAGCTCATCACCAGAGTCCACATGAGGCTAGAAAAGAGGACTGATTGCTGCAAGCCGTCCTCTGACCTCCACGTGCACACACACACACACACACACACACACACACACACACACATGCACGCACGATGTGGGATGCCCCTCTGTATGCTGTGAATATGTCTTATTACCTTTGGTTGGTTAATAAAGAAGCTGCTTTGGTCTATGGCAGGGCAGAATATAGCTAGGCAGGAAATCCAAGCAGAGAGACAGGGAGAAAGAAGGCAGAGTTGGACAGACGCCAACAGCCACTAGAGAAGCAAGATGTGAGATCACAAGCCTTGTGGTAAAATATAGAATAGTACAAAATTGGTTAATTTAAGATGTAAGAGCCAGGTAATAATACACCTGAGCTAATAGGTCAAACAGTTTGTAATTAATATTAAGCCTCTGAGTGATTATTCAGGAACTGGCAGGCAGGAGAGAAACTTTCAGTTACACACACACACACACACACACACTTTATTTTCAGTGTTTTAACTCTCCATGAGCTCAGTGCTGCTTTCCTAACCATTGTTTTTAAACTTTTTATTAGAGATAACTACAGATATACACACTGTTTAGAAACGATGCATAGAGCTGGGCTTGGTGGAGGCAGCTAACTAGGAAGATGAAACAGGAGGGTCACAAGTTCAAGGTCATCCTGAGCAACTTTGTGAGACCCTTGTCATAACAAGTATAAAAATAGGGCTGTGGATACAGTTCAGTGATAGAGTGCTTTTCTATCACACATGCAAAATTCTAGATTTAATCCCCAGTACTAGGAAAGACAAGGATGGGAAGAGGGAGAAGAGAAGGAAAAGGGCAGAGGGGAGAGGAGAAGAGGGGGAAGGGATGGGGAGAGGGAAGAGAAAAGGAGAGAAAAGCAAGCAGAGAGATGTCGGGTACCTCTTGCCCAATGTCCATTAATGATGGACATTGCACAACTGCAATGTCACAGCCAGGACGCTGATGAAGATACAGCAACCATGTGGAACATTTCCATTACCTCTTGCATCTTTCTCTCTGGCCTTTCCAGATCCACACCTAGCCCACCCCACCTCTTCAACCTCTTCTCTATCACTACGACAACAATGTTAAGCCAGGTGCCCAGCTCTCAGGGTACAGGAAGAACTTCTGGGAGTTCCAGGCCAGCCTGGACCACACAGTACAATTCTCTCTTATAAACACAAAACAATAACAACAAAGAGACCCTTATAAAATGGATTATATATGGTGGACAGCCTTCTGGGTCTGGCTTGCTACCCTCAGTGTTGCTCTCTGGAACTCATCCAGATCCTGGAAACCACTTCCCCTTTGGTGTCTAAGTTCCTCTCTGACTGGGGCAATTGTATAACTAGCTACTTTCTGAAGGTCATCTGGGCTGCTTTCAGGTTGGATTTATTATGAATAAAGATGCTACGAAGATTCCTGGGCAGGATTCTGTATAAACATATTTCTCTTGGATAAACTCCCAGGAGCGTAACCATTGGGTCCTATGGTCGGTGTGTGCTTGGTTTTTAAGGAACTGGGGAGCTGTTTACAGCTCCAGAGTAGTGGAAGCATACAGCATTTCCAGCAGAGATGTATGGGAGCCCGGTTTCTCCACATAATTCCCAGAATTTGATGATATCACTATTTTAATTTTTTTATTTATTTGTTATCATTGGTTTTTGAGACAGGGAGTCATGTAGTTCAGGCTTGTAGACCAGACGGACTCCAACTGTCCAGCATCCTCCTGTCTCAGCAGGCCAAGTGCTGGGATTACAGATAATGTTGCTTTATTTTACCCATGTCCAAAACTATACACAATTGTCTCACTGTGGCTTTAATTTGCATTTCTCTAATAGCTAAGAATGTTGATCATCTCTTTTATGTTTATCTGGTACCTGTCTCAGGTCAGACAGCTAAACAAGCACCACAGTATGGGTTGCTTACACACAAGGCAGTGGTTTATAAAGGGTGAAGACTTAACAGTTTTGAAAGCTGGGAAGCTCCAGCTCAAGGTATTGGCAGACATGAGAGCACACGCCCTAGATTTTTGTGACTTGGCTTGGTAGGAGCAGATAGGGGGTGTCTTAGACCTCTGTCACTGATGACGGCTTTGCTTCTACGACCCAACACTTCCGAAGACCTGACCTCCTCACACCAGCTGACGTGATCGCTTTTGACTGTCAACTCGACAGAATCTGGAAACAACCCACGAGATACACACTCGTCTGTGAGGGCTTCCAAAGAGGATTTGGTCCGGGTGGGAGAGCTAGCCTCAGAGTGGGTGGCGACTTCTAAAGCAGGGCTCTTATGTGCAGAGGACAGAGGGGAAACCAGTGCTGCTGGCCTGCGCTTGCATCCTCCTGAGGGGTGCACTCTACGGCTACGATCAGACTGCAGCTTCTTCTGCCTTCCAACGCAGACTGAGAACCAGCGGCGATGAGGGCATCTCCCAGGCCTCCAGTACTAGCTTCAGACCTCCAAGGCATCTAGCTTTAGGTTCTGAGCAGCTACTGGGGTCTCAGCCTCTCCTATGTGGCCAGCCTCTAGTGTGTAAGCCAAGCTAACACACCCCTTTGTAAGTCCTCCTGTGTTCCACATCACACCAGCAGTATGGGACGTCCTCCTGTATTCTAGAGGACCACATCACACCAGCAGTATGGAACGTCCTCTTGTATTCTAGAGAACCACATCACACCAGCAGTACGGGACGTCCTCCTATATTCCTCTAGAGGCTCACATCACACCAGCAGTGTGGGGGGCGGAATTTCAGCACACACATTTGGGGGCACACAAGCATTGAGACCAGAGCATGGCAGGCTCATCCTGTGCTTAGCTGCATTCTAGGTGGACTTTCTTCTTTCACTGCTGAACCTTCAGCATCCGTTAGATGCTCTAGATGCCTTTGCTGCCCATGCAGCATAAAAGTCTCTTCTAATCCATAGCATCCTCCTGTAAGTGTTTGTTTGAGACAGGCTCATTATGTAGCCTTAAGTGACCTGGAACTTGCTATGTAAATAAGGCTAGCCTTAAACTCACAGAGATCTGCCTGCTTCTGCCTCCCACGTGGGGATTAAAAGTGTGCGCCACCATACCTGCCCCCTCCTGCTCTCTTCTTAACAGGGGCTACTGCAAGGAAGTGTTTCATTTTAATGAAGTCTAATCAACCCAGTTTTCTTCTTATGGGGCACAATGTGACTCTTTACCTAAATTTAACCTCTTATTTTTTTTTCTAAAAGTTTTCCATCTAAGCTCATGATTCTCTCTGAGTTTATTCTTGCATGAGACAACACTTGGGTCAAAGGGTTTGGTTTTGCTTATGAGATCCCAGCAGCGCTGTTTGCAATGCTACCTTCTGAATCACTGCTGCCAAAAACCGGTCCAGCACATTGCGTGGCCTCTGTCTGGCTGCTATTATCTATGTCACTGACCTATGAACCCTCACCCTATTCCTCCTTTTGAAAAATAAACTATTATTCTATTTATTTTGCCTTTCCATGTAAATTTTAGAATAACTTCTATAGTGTAACATGGACAGAACTTAATGAATGACATCTGAGGTCATCCTCTGGCCTCCGTTGTACCCACGCATTCACACCCACCTATACCCACATATATGTGTGCACACATATGCACACACGCATGCATGTAAAGCAAATGATCGAAGTAAATAAAGAACTGCCCTTATATCCCTGGAACAAAGACATCTTTTTATGTTTCATAATTTAAAAAGATATTGCTGAATTCTACCTGTTAATAATTTAAGAGTATTCATAAAGGATTGGTCTGACCAGGCAGTGGTGGTGTGCACACCTTTAATCGCAGCACTTGGGAGGCAGAGACAGGCAAATCTCTGAATTTGAGGCTAGCTTGGTCTACAGAGAAAGTTCCAAAAAAGCCAGGCCTACACGGAGAAGCCCCCCCCCCCCCACATACACACATTGATATTGATCTGTAGCTTCTCTTCCCCACTTTTTGGTACTGTTTTTGTCTGGCTTGAAGATTAGGGTAATATTAGCTTCATAAATACTTCCATGACTTCATAAAGTCAGAGAAAGCTGAGCCCAGCCCCAGGCCTCCATTGCTGCTTCCCTGGCTGGGAGAGGGAGAGGGCGGTGGTTTCCTTGCTGCCTTGCACACATGTGGGGACATATGATCTCATTCCTGATGGGCAAGGATAGTCTCCTCCCACGACTCTGCTTCCTTCCTCCAGAGCAGACAGGGTTACCTGAAAATGACAGTCCTGGTCTCTACTTGGCTTCCCCTGACTCACTAGGGTCCTCACCTCCCCGACACACCTTGCCTGTGTCTGTTGACCCTCGCTAGCAAACACAGGCTGAGGCCACAGATGTGAGAAGAGCAATCGCGGGCTAATGCTCTTTTCCCTTGCCAGGGCTGGTTGGTCTTACAGCTGGAGAAAGTGGCTTCGGTTGGGATGGTCTGTGTCTGGCTCACCGGTGTTTCCAGGCCACCAGCTTCCTCAGCTCAGAGTCTGGGCTACATCAAACAAACAGAAACCTCAAGGCTGTCATTCCTTCGGCCTGAGGTTCTCGCCTCATCTGCTTTCTGTCC